CTGAGTAATATGCACATTCCCAACTTTGCCTTCCGAACACATTTTTCTGTCCCTCATTGTTTCGCAATCAGTAAATGTCTGGTTGTGGAGCGAAGACTCCAACTCTGGAGCGCTTCCAACTACCTGATTAAAGTTTTCAATTTAAAATGTTTTTCCAAAATCAATATCAATTAGTTCGACTCAGATTATCTTCTGCCTCTCAAGTTTTGTTAAATAAAGTTTTTACTTCGCCTAAGTACTTAATTATGTTGAAATGTTCTCTTTGTTCTAAGTTAGCGACCTATTTACTAAGTTTTTTGAGGTTAAAATAATTGTTTTTCAGACGTACCTAATATTAGCATTTATCATTACTTTGTTTATGCTATCTGATTTTCTATTTTATTTGTAACATTGAATAAGGTATTGTCAATTTATTTACCACATTTTTGGTCTTGGAACGACTCCAGAAAAGCAAAACATCAAGTTCTTAGAACTTACAGTTCGAAGCTAAAATTATCCGCTTTATGTAAACGAAGGGTCGAAAGGTTTGGCTCCTTTCTAGCAATAATAATACAACTGATAATTTCCGAGTTAAACAATATAAATAATACTTAGCTTATTTTCATAAATAGGTAAAAATTTTAACATATATTAGATTATAATTCTGTTATTTTTAAAGAGATAGGCAGAGACTTTTATAATATTCCTGGTTCTCACCAGATATTTATGTTGTTAGAAACACTATTTGGCTGGGTATTGGCTGTATGGATACCTAGTAAGTAAAAAACATACATCTATACTAATATTTTAAAGCTGAAGAATTTGTTTTTTTGTTTGTTTGTTTGAACGCGCTAATCTCCGAAACTACAGGTCCTATTTGAAAAATTCGTTTTGTGTTGGATAGCGCATTTATCGAGGTAGGCTATATATAGGCTATAAAACATCACGCTAAGATTAATAGGCGCCGAGCAGAGTGAGTGAAACCGCGCGGAAGTAGTAGTAGGTAGTATACAATATGACACAAAATATATTGCTCGAGTGCACGTGGCAGGTTCATATGAGTGAGTTATCGTTAGTTATCAATACCCTTCAAAACCTGCTTTGATTTTAGGGATAAATGAACCCTTTGTTTCACCATATTATCGAAATTGAATCGTAGCATTAGCTTTCAAAGCCTTTCTTGAACAACATAATTATTTACCAACAGAAGAAGAAGTATTTTGTGAAACAACGTAGCTCGTTGAATATTTAACTGAAATTGCAATAATTTATTGTAATAATTCATGCCCAATAAAGAAAACATTCTTAATGTTCGTGTTTTTTAATTCTCTATAACATTTACTTAATATAATAAGACCAGTAGTAGTAGTAGTAGCAAAATAGCCAAAAATACTTAATAACTAAAAAATCGCGGTTTACTCGCGTGAAAATACTGAGAAAAGCTCTACTAGTGCTTTTGCTTTTTTTACTACTACTTTTGACTGCACGGGTGGTGCGGTGGCTAGGCAACCGACTGCCGTGCAACGTGTCGCGGGTTCGATTCCCGCACAGAACAACACTTTGTGTGATCCACAAATTGTTGTTTCGGGTCTGGGTGTCATTGTATATGTGAACTTGTATGTTTGTAAACGCACCCACGACACAGGAGAAAATCCTAAAGTGGGGCAACGATAAAAAAAAAAGTTTTCAACCACAGAGGGGTTCTTTCTCATGAGCAGCGTGCGCGCGATGTCAGTAGGCAGCGCGACATCGCGATATTAGTTCAACATTTGTTCATTAACAGTACATACATGGATAATTAGAAACACTAATGATGAATCAATCTTCAATGTAAACAGTGAATGGCACCAGTAATTGTAGATGTATTACAAAACGATTCACACTGCGATCTAATGCCTATGATGGCTATGTTAGACCTCATACAATAGCCTATTGTTCAGGCAACGTGGACTAATGGAATACTCCTCCCCCATTTACGACTAGATTAGGTATCTCTAATTGTTTCAGGTGTAAGAATAATGTAGTTTAAGAGGAATACTGCTTAGCTGAAATATGGTCTTGGTATGGTATAAAGTGATATGAGAAGGATTGGCCGCAGAAAGCCTTGCGCGGAGATGAATGAAAGAAGGGTATCCGAGGTCTTTGTCCTGCAGTGGGGCGATCATGGTTAAAAATAAAATAAATCTATTCTACAGATACATATACACATAAAACTGTTCATTGAATATTTATAACACCCAGGGAGGTCCTTATGAGCGTATCCTACTGAGCCACGGCGGCAGATATGTGAATAATCCGTTGTCGGAAGACGATGAGTCCAGGTTTATCCTGTCAATAATGTTAGCCCTGCTTGGTGGCACCCCCTCCGCCACGTCAGTTGCTGCATATCGCTACAGAGATTTTTTTAAAAGAATGGTTCAGACGTTATCTACAATCGATTTCGAATCCAAAAATACGGTTATTAGAACTTCTTTTGTCTGTTTGTCTGTATGTATGTCCGGGTTAAATTCATAAAGTACTGTATGGATTTACTTCAAATTTTGCATGAATATTACTAACAGGTCGGTTCAACATATAAGCTGCATATTATCCGCTATCATCTACGGGGCCTCCCCCGTAGATGATAGCGGATAATATAGCTGTGAATCACTATTGTACGTGGACGAAGCCGCGGGCAAAGCTAGTGAATAATATAATCTTATACTTATACATATAAAGCTGAAGATTTTGTTTGTTAGTTTGGGCGCGCTTATCTCAGGAAATACTGGTCCAATTTGAAAAATTCTTTTCATGTTGTATATTCCATTTATTGAGGAAAGCTATAGGCTATAAAACATAACGCTACAACGATAGGAGTCGAGCAGAGCGGTTGAAACCGCGTGGAAGTACTTAGATAATAATATAAATACATATCCAATGTATTTTAATTCGTGTCATAAAATATATATGCTTTTTCGTGAATGAAAGAATTAGTTTATAGAATTAAGGTTTATAAACAGGTACGTGAGTGCAATAAACTTATATATATATCTTCTCATACCAAGTATTCACAAAAGAGAACGCAAAAGCTACTAGTTAAACTTGGTAGTTTGCAACTAATGTCATTGTTCTTGTACAAACAAAATAGGTATAACTTCTTGTAACAAAAGCTTATACATACAATATATATAATAATATATCCACAGTAATTATCACGTAGCTTCGTGCAAAGCGTTATTTGGTAAGTGTGCATAACAAGATAAACATTCGCGTAACCGCTTTTATGTTCAGATTTTTAAACATTTTTCAGTGCTAGCACGTTGTCCTAAATAGGGAAATTTTGAAAAATGCTTACGTACACCTTTAAGTATTGTGCAAATAATTTTTATATTAATTGGGACAAGCCCGCCACAACCTCCCAAAACCGTTGCAAGTCAGGATCTACAGTAGATACAACCATGAAAACACCGAAACACTGAAGGCCGGCGCATCCCAGGGACATGAATAACTGTATTGGTTTCCGCAACGAAGTAAGTCAGAAGATATTATAAGAGGAGAGGAAAAAAACGATAGTGTCCACTTCCCTCGGTGAATTACTACAGGAGACAGAATTAATTAAGCCTAAAGGCACAAAAAGAGAGGAAAAACCCAGTCCCCAAGCACCACGGAAATTTGACTAATAACTAGTGGGTTCTATGTGTAATACAAATATTATTTATTTACGAATAATATACCGACTTGAGTTTCATACTTAATTTGTAGTAAATAAAACTGAATGGTTATCAAAACTTCTGAATTTCTATCCTACCGATTATTTCTCTGGATCATAGACCTCTGTGTCTTAAAGGTCATCAGTCAAGATTTACGTAGATAATTAAGATAGTGCGACCAAAACCTATTCAACTATAAATTGAAATCGATGAAAGTTACAAATTATATGAAAACACTTCGTTAGACCTACCTAATTTTATTAATTGTTAAAATATATTCTCTGTTTTAAAATTTAGTTGAAATCATTGCAAAAGTCCCTTAAATTAATGCTTATAATGTGTTTTATTTGTATTTGTTTTACGTTATTTCTGTCTCCATTGTCTACCCACTCAGTCGGCCTTTTGATGTCTTTTCACCTTTTATTTCAGGGGAAAAAGTAATTGTCAGTTTATCATATTCACTTGTTTCTTGGTATTATTCAAGAGAATGAAATTCGCTGAAGGTAATGGCCATGATGCGCTGGAATTTACAAAAGAGGTAATCAAAGGTTTGTGGGGTAACTGCCTGGCCTGATGAATCCTGTTCACCTTCAAATCAATAATATCCATTTTAATCTTAGCGATACAGCGCATCTACAATGCAAAATTAAGCCACATAAATCTATTAAAATTTAAGTAAAAAGAAAAATAACTCAATTTATTTTATAAACACACATAAGTTTCAGCAATCTAGTCTAGTATTGATTGATCAAAATATCGAGTACTTATACCTATATGATCCATTGAACGTCTCTAATTAATACAAATGACATGTAGATCTCTGATAAATTAAGTAACTTTAAAACTAGATAAGGAAACTAGCTTTTTGTTGACATGGCGTGACACACATTAAAAACGGAAATCAATCTGTCCAATGTCTTAGATTAAAATAAATGTTTATATAAAAACGTTATCAATGAAAATTGGGTGCTACATTTAATATGTGCCCCTAAAGGGAAGAAAAAGGGCGAAGTTATGATATGAGTATAACACGCGTGTATTAAATCTTTTCCTTACTTGATATCGTTCTAATAATAATTCTCTGTCTATCCCCCTAAGGTAGACTGCAATGGAATAAGGAATAGGTAAGTCTGTCAATAGAAAACTAAGTACTAAAGTGTTAGAATATAAATACATAAATGCATTTATCTTTAAAGCGCTTAATGATAACGAGGAGCATTTCTTTCAATACGTGTCAGGGTGCCGTTTAATGTTGAAGTTACAAGAGTGAAAACACGGGAGCATCGGAAAGCTTGCGTTGCGAGGGCGGGCGCGGCTAGGCCCCGGGTACTCGGGTGGTCGGGTCGAGCAGACGAGCAGTACTCTCCCGGACGGCGCCCCGAGCACACCACCGCCGACGACGGCACCCCGCCCGCACCGCGATCTAACTTCGACGTCAACTACAATGGACACAAACGGCACCGTTGCGTTTGATGGCGCTCGATCGAAAATGTGAAGTGATCGGATTGTGGTTCCGTACCGTGTTCTTTGAATACGATATTATTTTTTTTACAAGTGCTTTTTTATCATGGAATTTCCTGGATTTGTTCTTGGCTTAAATGGTATGGGATTGTTTTTGTTTAATATTTATATCCTTAATTGGCAAAAAGCTGGGTGAAATGAAGATATAATTGCTACAGAGTACAAACATCTCGCAGTTTGGATACATTTTTCAGTAACGTTTTAATGACGTATTTAATAAATAGAATAAAAAGACTTGCTTTATTAATATCATACTCTCTACAGCACTCAGGATCTGGGTACTTCATAAATTAATTTTTAATTTGAAACCCGCTATAATGTTGAGGCATGATAACTTCAAGACGAAAAGCTTCCGGCCGTGTAATGGCTATTATAATTAAGTTATCTCTGCTACCGTCAAGTCTACAAAATTCGGAACGAGCCACATTTAAAATTCCATAATAATTAGATTAGACAGATATTCTACAGAAAATAGGTAAATTCTGTATTTCTCTTTGCAAAAATCATTAAATATTTAATACGATCTCAATATGACTTCTTCAATATTATACGTTTTTATATATCACACAATAAATTACAATATTTGTAAAATACAAACGTTCTAATTGCGTTGCAATATTGTGATTTCATTAAACTAAGAATTTTTACAATGTTTGGGAAATTATTATATACTAAAAGGTTCCTTACCATTTATTTAACATTTCCTTTTTATCATCTCAGCAATTTAATCTATAAAATTCAAATCTCAAATGGCGTCTAAACAAAGCATATTGTTTTAGGATCTATTTTTCTTTTATAAAATTCGTGAAGAAGAATGCTACCTTCTAAATTACATACTTTCGTCATTGCTCTTCATTTCTTTCATAGCATTTACTTCATTCCGGAACGTTATTAGGTTTTTTGCAATTAGAGGCGACCATAAAGTTTAATGAACCATTACTTCCGCGAGGAGTTCATTTTTCTCCGTCTTTTATAAACAAAATGTATAACGACACTCTAACTTGAGTAATATTTGATACTTTTCGTTAAATCCATGAAGAATGAGGTTTTATACCAGGTAGGTATCGCGGAGAACCTAACGGGTTACCGGGGCTCCGGCTCGAAGTGCAGGAGAAGGAACGGGGTGGTTTTTAGTCAGTAAGAGTCTCACACTCCCTCCCGCCTCACCCAGGCGGGAGAAGTCATTCGATGATTTTCCTCCGTTAAAAAAATACCAGGTAGGTACTGTATTCAACACATATGCTTAGAAATTATAATATGAACGCCTACAGATCTCAAAATGATACATCAGACATTTAGACAGGAGTAATAAGATTTATCTACATAATAAGATTAGCTTTTACACAAAACTAAAGTAGTAGCCTCTTTGGCTGGTTACCTAGTGCCCTCTTGAGCAAAAACTGAAATAAATCTTGGGAATAATATTATCTGTAATGAAAGGTAGGTACTTACATTAAATTCTACGAATTTCTAATTACTTCTCAAATCACGATAAAAACGTTCACAAATTAAACGTCTTACAAAATATAGCCTGATATTACTGATTATTATTGTCAATCATAATTCTACATTACAAAAGAGTTCGATATTTATTCATCCAGCTTTCAAAATGTGAGCTATTATTTACATCGAACAAAAATAACGATATTTTTAAAATAAGGGACAATGATACACGGAACAATAAACGAGAAGTTATTTAATTGTACTATTGCTGACAAAGGGGGAAATATACAATAGGAAAATAAGAGATAAAATAATGAACGTGCAATGTTCGTTTGATTAAAAAAAGACAAAAGCAAATGCTCAGCCATTACTGGAATATGGAAACCCGAGCACGATATATTTATCCATTGTTTTATGGTTATGCTCAGTAAGTGTAAAATCTATGAAGCGTGTGCACAACAGGCGTTAACGTATTTTTAAACGTAAAGGGATGGGGGCTAACCTTTCAAATGGTGAAATTATCACTTGGAGACATTAAACGCAAAATAAATATTTCGAATTCAAATTGCTTTAACAGTTTCACACATTTATCTAACAGAGTGATAAGAGCGGCGTGTTGTTAATGATTCCCAAGGGAATGCGTTTAAAATGCTCGATCATTTGATTGCGTGGTTTATTGCGAGTTGGGCATGACGTAATAATTGTTTGGGGACAACCAACCAATTTTTTTACTTACATTACTGACGTTGATTTTTATATTCTACTCCAAAGTCTAATATTATTTAGAAATGGCGTAATAATAAGTAAGTATAAGTTTCAACGCCTGTATAACATTTAAATATAAGCACATTTAATTGTAATGTTTAGCGACTCGACCCCGCAGTCAAACCATTCCAACGGTTTTGCGGGGCTTAGATTATAAGATACTTACCTGTGTTTTTAAATAAAATTAATGAATGAATACGTATATATGGAGTAGAATAATATAGATTTGGTTCTGATGGAAAATGGTTGTGCAGTGCTTAACTGTCCACCGCGTAAGTTTATTGAACTTTAGTGGTTGTCAAAGATCAACGTTCCTATAGCACAATATGGTTTTCCGATTAGTTCATTTCTGCGAGAGTATTTTCGCTTTCATTCGTAACAATTAAAATTCTGACGTTATAACATGTAAATACTTCTGTAACCAATGCTATTCCATAAATGAACTATTTTAAAAGCTATGTAGGATTGTAGATATGTGATCAAGATTGACTGCCTCAAAACGTGTGGTACATGCTTGGTTGAGTAATGATGATATTCATTACTCAACTACCTTTTTTTAAAAACAAATACTTTGCCCCACACTAGGATTACCTCCTGTGTCGTGGGTGCGTTTACAAACATACAAGTTCACATACACATGACACCCAGACCCGAAACAACAATTTGTGGATCACACAATCTGTTGTTCCGTGCGGGAATCGAACCCGCTACACGTTGCATGGCAGCTGGTTGCCCAGCCACCGCACCAACCGTGCAGTTAAATACTGATTATCTTTTACAAATAACTGATTATGTCGATACCTACACTTAATTCGCAGTTTTACATATAAACCAAGCATTATTAAATAAAAAAATTATCTTGTTTCAAAACCCGACCGGAATATGCATTTTGTAGCAAAAAATGTGGTTTGGAAAGATGCTGGTAATATAGACCTTATTTTTCGCCTCTGTCTGATATAAAATGTGATTTATATTCTTGTTTGATCTTGTTAGATACGTAAACCAAGTTCAATTAATTGACTGTAAATAGTTGTAAATAATTGTGTAATTATATTGTAAAGACAGTATTATAAATAAAAATTTTGTCAATATTATGTTTATTTGTACATAAATAGTAAGAAAGTTTTGTTTGTATAAGTACAACAAAGAGTTGAATTAAATAATAATACTTGTAGCGTATATTTCGAAGTCTTGTTTACCAAACTTTTATATCCATTGTGGTAGTTACCACGTCTCGAAGCAATTATCCTCAAGCCGCTATTGAAACTGTGAACGACGGTTCGCGTAAATTTTCAAGGGATTGCTCTTATTCGTCCCAAAAACACTTATAGGGTTGTTACCGAAATTGCTTGGAAAATTTAATTATTTCCGTACTCTCCCCGTAGCCGGTGGGCTTGGTGTCAACTGTAGCCATTTATTATGTTAAGGACAGACATCCAATAAAAAACGTATATAGACTGTTTCACGGTTGTAAGTATCTCGATAAACTTGGTTATTACGGGATATGCAGAAACTCAAATTAAAAGTCGCGTCCATTTCTGTCATTTCCTAGAAGATTATTCCTAGCTGAAGAAAAGTGTGTTCGTGTTGTCGATGTGTTTGTGAGACGCCTTAAAAATTTAAGTTACTAAATTAACTAAAAATCGCGGGTTACGTGACCGCGCACGCTGCTCAAGAGGAAGAGCCCCACTGTTGCTCGAAACCAGTAGAGCTTTTCTCAATTTATTTACGTGAGTTATCCTTATGTCTCACGATAGTTATTATAAAAAATCAAGTGACTGTTAAATAAAAAATGGAAGTCAGTGGTATATTTTATAGTTACGTAGATTTCTGCCAAATCACCTTTGCAGTCTGAAATCAATTGAGTAATGACTCTCAGAATCTTCAACATACCTCGGAGAGCACGTTAACCTGTCAGTCTGGTACATTGTTGCATCTTAGTGTAATTTGTGGTTGCGACAGCTCTTAGTGCTGTCACATTGGTCGACCATTGTACAGGCTATACATGATTAGGTACAATCGTACATAATGTATATAATGTAGTCTTATATACGCTTAATGAATAGGCATTTAGAGTATTAGACAACAGTCATGTATAATTACTGTTTGACTGCATGATTGGACGTGTGCAAGGGTGACGCTGCAATGTGTAGCACGTTCAATTCCTGCATGGAACAACTCTTTGTGTGATCTACAAACAACCTTATGTTACGTTATTATTCATCTGAATAATAATTGTTAAGTGTATCAAACAATGTACAGCACAAACAATTTCAAGTCAATCAAAGTTTGGAAATTGTTCTAACCTTGAGTATTATGTTCTCAGTACTGGTGAGTTACGGCTTAAGGTCAGAAGACTGTTCTAGAAGAAATATTTATATTGGCCTGTATCTAGTTAGACCGAGCCTAGCGTGGTTTTCTTGAGAATTACGAGGATTGAAGCTATCACTTAGGTCTCAGATGTATTTATGTTTTATAAAATGTAGACAAAGCTTTACGAGAATTTTTCACAATTTGTAGATAAGTTTTGGTATAATACTATTATAGTAATAGCCCTGTTAATAACACATACAATCCATCCTACATTTCAGTAATAAACAAAACGCAAACCTCTCAGAAACCTGGTATTAGCAACACATACATACACTACAACCGATGTCGTATTTACATAACAATTGCGATTGATTACGTATCATATTAATTGCGTCCTTTACTTTAATTGTGTCAATTCCAATATGGAGTGTCCATTTAATCATCAAAAGGTCACATCAATAGTCTATAAGCACTACAACAGTCTGTAAAGATCTCTCCTCACACGGAGAAGGTTTGAGCATCAATATCCTCAACGGTTTGTGCGATTTCAAACATATTA